ATACAACATATTGAACTAGAAATATTTACCCCCTTTTGGAGATGGATGCCACTGAAGAAGAACTTATACTTTTTCTTTGAGTAATGTCCCTATGGGTGCTCCACTGTAGGTGGGGCAGCTCCGCCTGCGTCTGGGTTCGGAGATCTTCATCAGCAGTGCCTGTTGGACCACACATGCTCACCTCCCAGTCTCATACCATGAGCGGGACATAGATATAGCACTGTGCGGTCTGACCACCCTCCCGGTTTCTTCTCTAGTGCCTTTGGTCTGGGACGGAATCTGCAGCACAGCCTGTTTCTCCTTTTGACCTGTTAGATAGTGCCTTACCTGTTAGTTTTAGTGTAGTTTAATAGTTACTTCTTCCTTTCTTGTCCTCTCCCTGAATAAAAAAAAAATGTTTTTCCGTTTCCATTAGTTTATAGCTTAGATTTTCGTTTTCCCACTTCCTGCCTTTCCTGACCAGGAAGCTTTTCCCCTCATCCTTATGCCCAGATTGCCTGGGTTTAAGAGGAGCATTTCCTGCCAGGATGCCTTCCTGGTAATTGATGGTCACCTAAAATGCATTCTCTGCCTGGGAGAGGGACACCTCCTGCAAAGGTGTACTTATTGCCACAATCTGACTCCCAGGGCCAGAAAAGACCGGGACATTTGGCTATGACTTCTCTGCATGGAGAAATCACTCTGTGCAGCATTGGACCCTGGCCTGGACACTTCCCCTGCACAGCTCTCACACACCGCTAGGTCATCCACTGCATCCTTCTAAAAGAAAATCTTCTCTTTCCTGAGCTGATGGGAAGAAACGGGCCCCCTCATCTTCCTCTAAGGCACCGCCTGCCAGAACGCCATCCCTTGCGAGATCAATTGCCCCAACATCTTCCGAGAGGGCACGTAGCTCCAGGGACGGTCTGAGTACCTCTGATGCCAGAGCTAGGTAAAGGTCTAAAGACCCTTACCAGGCAGACTTACAGCTGTCAGCACCATCTCTTGGCACTGGAGACTGAAACATGAGACCTTCAAGAACGGTGCCAACCACCCGACCAGACCAACTTTAGGCACTACGGCACCGGCACCGACAGCTCTACCAATGCTGACATCCATTTCAGCAGGAAGCAAGTCCTCAGCACTGAGAAAGTCCTACACCCCAAGCGAGTCTTCAACTCCATCTGCTGGCTGCTCAAGAGAATGCACCTCTCCCTCAGCACCGATACATGTGAGATGCTGATGATGCTCCTCCCTCCTCTCCAAGAGTTCAGATACCCCAAAGATATACTTGTATCTGATATGCCTGAGTCACCACTACTCAGACACGACCTCCTCCACTTCTGTCCTCCTCTCCGGAATGATTCTTCCTTTTCCCTTCTGAAGATGGCACTGTCCTTCCCCAGCAATGCAGAGGTGGAGGAGTACTACGTTACACCCTCATACATGGGACTGGCACAAAAGTCATCCTCTACACAGTCTCACTATCCACAATTCTAAATATCCAATTATGAGACTCTCATGAACAAATACAATTATCTGAACTATTCTAAAATACAGACTTTCCTACCAAGACCTTCCTCAGGACAAAAAAGATCAACTCTAGGCCCTCGTGTCTGAAGGACACCTCTCGGCCTGTACAGTTTTACAAGGCTCTTTGGACTCTGTGGATACTGCTGCCCACTCCATCACAATTGTTGTAGTCATGAGAGAAGTGTCATGGCTGCACCGCTTTGGCCTTACTAAGGAGGTATAAACCACCGTTGAGAACCTATTCTTTGAAGGTCCCAAATTATTTGTGGAGCGTACGGATGAATCTCCACACTCCCTTAAGGACTCTCAAGCAACTCTCCGCTCTCTCAGTATTTACACACCAGTGCCGAAGAGATGCCTGGGGAAATACCAACTTCCCTCATGACCCTGACCACCACAATACACTCTCCAGTGACGCTACGATACTCAACACCGTTGACAGAAACCCCCTACCAAGTGGAGATATACGACTGCTCAAGGGGCTACCTCTCATGCACGTTCAACCAAACAACAATTTTGAAGGGGTGGTTGAGGCCCCGAAAAGCCTCATCCTGTTCCAGTCACAACAACCATCTCTGACATCCCAGCAATCTGGCGACAGTCCAGCCCCTTTCTTTCCATCATGGCAGCTAATTACCTCGGACAAGTGGGTCCTAGAGATCATCAAGGAAGGATAATCCCTCTCTTTCCCAGTCCCCCTTTAGAGTCCCTTCTTACAAACCCGTACTATGAGAATATATAAATCACCTTCTGCAACTGGGAGCCATAAAGCCAGTCCCATCCCAGCACAGAGGGAAGGGTTTGTACTCCCATTATTTATTTATCACAATACACCCTACCCATATATGGTTCCTCTGATTCATTATGGGGATTGATCTCTCTCAATACAAAGTACTGCCCTTCAGAGTCTCGACAGCCTCTCACATGTGCTCTATATCCTTATGGTAGTGGCTGCTTACCTACGCAAAGAGGGCATTGTCATCTTTCCATACTTAGATGACTGTCTCCTCAAGGCCACATCCAAAACCAATGCCCTTTATGCTGTCCAAATGACAATGGATCTTTTCTTGAGCCTCAGCCTTCATGTAAACCTAGAGAAATCTACACTAACAACTGTGCAACATGGGAGTTTATAGTTGATTTTGTATTCAAGGAGAGAATCTGCCCTCAAGTTTTAGCCAGGACATGTTTCCAGCTTGTACGGGGAGATTTTGGCAAACCAGTAAAGTTCTTGAAACCACTATGGCTTATTGCCTAGTCAGCAATCTCAGCTTGACCAAGGGAGGAGGGGAGGAGGTTTTGGGTGCCACAGAAAGGGCAGCTTGACCCCGCGTCCTTCCTGGTAAGAATTGTGTTGAATTTGCTGATACATGCATTTTAGGAGAGCAGGATATGCCCCAGGAATGTCTATTGGGGCCTCAAGGCTGAAAAACCCATTGATTGGTTAATCAATAATCAGAAGGAATCTCTTGCTTGACCATTGAAACTGCTTACTTGACAAGTTTTCTTTAAGGGATATGCCACTCTATTACTAATGTATAAATAAGGGGGAAAAGTTTGAGGTAGTTGGACTCTTTTGGGACTTGTTTGGACTTTCCCTCTGGATACATCTTGCGGTCCCCACCGGCAGATGGAAGATTTGGCTACCGGAAGCCTGCCGCTGTGTCACTCAAGAGCCATACTCAGCTTTGGTAATTATCAAGGGTTGGGGGTTTTTAACCGAATCCGCCCTACACATCAACCTCCTAGAGCTATGAGCAGTCCACAATGCCTGCCAATGCTTTCTCCCACTGATCGCACATTGTACTATCAGAATCATGATGGACAATATTGCCTGCATATTCTACATCAACAGACAAGGCAGAGTGAGTTCCCATTCTCTATGTTTGGAGGCAATGAAATTATAGAACTGGTGTATCCAACACAGCATCACCATCTCAGCCGCATACCTTCCTGGATCCAGAATACTACCATGGACTCATTAAGCAGGAGATTCTTCCACGATCATGAGTGGGAACTAGATACATTAGCCCTTCAGCACATCTTCAACCACTGGGGATTCTCCACCATACATCTCTTTCCCACACCGG